ATGTACAAATGCGCTTTACACAATTGATGTGTGTATGGATTGGGATAACAGTTGTATGAGCCCCTAATAAAATGTTAAAAAAAAAGAAAATACATCCTGCATATGAGACATTTACATGATGATCCCTAACAGTAGCAAAATTACAGTTATGAAGTAGCAAAGAAAATAATTTTATGGTTGGGGTCAAAGGGTGGCAGCATGAGGAAGGTTGAGAACCACTGCTCTAGACCAAGGAGTGATGCTTGTGTTGAAGGAGTGGGGGTTGATACTCTCCCATAATCTCCATCGACTGCCCCCCAAGACTATCCAAATGACAATAATAAATAAATATCCACTATTTTTCCAGCAGTCAAGAGACCGAAAGACATGCTGCATTGGATAAATCTGCTGCACAAGACCTCTTTATAGAGTATTGAAAAGCAAGGATACGACTTTGAGAACTGATCCAAGCCCTGGTGTTTTCAATTGCCTCCTGTGCATGTGAAAGTCGGACACTGAATAAGGGAGATTGAAGAAGAACTAATGCATTTGAATTACGGTGCTGGAGAAGAATATTGACATGACAAACCGGTGTGTCTTGGAAGAAGTAAAGCCAGAGTGCTCCGTAGAGGCAAGGCTGGCAAGGTTTTGTCTTACATTACTTCCGACATCCTCTCAGGAGAGACCAATCCCTGGAGGACATCGTGCTTGGTAAAGTGGAGGGGCAGGGGAAAAGGAAGTCCCTCAAGGAGATGGATGGACACAGAGGCTGCAGCGATGGGCTGAGGCAGAGGGACAACGGTGAGGACGGTGCAGGACCGGGCACGGTTCCTTCTGTTGTCATGGGGTCGCTATGGGTCGGAACCGACTCACTGACACCCACACACAACATCATTCTCCTGTGGCCGCCTTTACCCATCTCCAGGTAGGAATGGATGAGAAGTTTTAACCTCTGAGGAGATTATGGGGGAGACAGGGAGGGTAAAGCTGGTTGGAGTCAGTGAAGGCAATAGATCCAATATCAGGATTATAAGAGGTGGCAGATGGGTCCCTTAATCCACATCCTCACAGCTCAGTTCAGTCTAGCTCACAAAACGAGTACCCATTAGTTGGCTGCAAGTGCCAACCAGACAGACATGACCCAGGATGGTCCCTATTGATAGATGCTGGAGCAGACAACCACCAGGTGGCAGCAAACAACAGGGAGGAATTTGGAATGGATAGATTTCTTAGAAGACTGGGCTTTCTGCTCCCATGAAGAGTTAGTCTTGGAAATCCACAGCAGCAGTGCTACCCTGTCCTATAGGGAAGCCATGAGTCAGCAGAGACTTGATGGCAGTAAGTTTGGCTCTCTGGTTTAGAGGATTTCCTGCCCATACTCTGGTTTCTCCGTCCTGGGAGATGATGATGTTCCGGAATTTGACAGAGTTGTACAACACTGTGCCTGTGTTGAACACCACTGAATCGTTCACATCTAAGCGGTTATTTGTATAATGTAGATTTACCTCTGTTTCCAGAGCTGTCCAAATCACAGATATCCCTAAGGAGAAGCCGGTCATTGTTAGCCACGCCTTCCACCATATTGCTCATAGCTGGTAAGGCTGGGCCTGGGCATTAGGCAAGTATGGGGTCCACCCAATGACCTTTCCCTCCTCACTCATCTTCCCCAACAGAGGTAATAGCTTTTGTTAAGACAGAGGAACAACTTGGCCACGTTGTTGGCATAGGAACGCATTTAAGGTCCGGAGATGCTGGCCAAGGGAAGTCCTGAGACACAGCTTTTGACAACGTGTTCTTAGAGCTGGCATCAAAAGTGTAACAAAGACAAAGAGAGAAATCTGGCCTCATCAAAATGACAAACTTATATTCCTATCCAATGACCTGATCATAAAAGCCAAGAGACAGCCTACAGAATGGGACACAATTTAGGGCCCGTATGCTGAATAAGAGTGGAGTGTCAGAATATGTGTTGGGCTGGGATCCAAAGGTCAGCAATTCAAAACCACCAGCTGCTGCAAAGGAGGAAAAGAGGGCTTTCTACTCCCGTCAACAGTTACCATCTGGGAGACTCACGGGGCAGTTCCAACTTTCCTTTAGGTTTGCCATGAGTCGGCATGGATGCAAAGACAGCAAGTTCGGCTTGGGTTTGGTCAGAATATAGAAAGAAATCCTACAACCCAACAACAAAAGCACAAGCCATCTAATTTGGCAACAGACACAGGATGTGAAGAGATCCACTCCACTGCCTTGGAGTTGATTCTGGTTCAAAGCAACCCTACAGGACAGAGTAGAACTGCCTCTGTGGGCGTCGGAAGTGGTAATCTTCACAGGAACGAAAGCCTCATCTCTCTCTTGCAGAGTGGCTGGTGGATTTGAACTGTTGACTTTGCAGTTAGCAGCCCGTTGAGCAGCCCCATGTGTAACCACCCATCCCACCAAGGCTCCTTTCTGAATAGATGGCACTAAGAACGAGTGATTAGTCAGCAGTTCAGAAAACGCCCATCAAACCACAGTGAGATAACACTCCACACCCACTAGGACGGCCGCCATCAAAGCAAAACACACAACCCAGACAGAAACTAACAAGGGTTGGTGAAGATGTAGAGAAATTGGAACTGTGGTCCTTTGTTGGTGGGGATGTGAAATGGTGCCACCACTATGGAAAGCAGTTTGGTGGTCCCCCAAAATGCTTAACATAAAGTGTCCATATCATCCAGCCATCCCTCCTAAGAATACATCTACAAGACGGGAAGGCAGAGGCTCAAGCAGACACTGTGCACCAAGGCTCATTGCAGCCCTGTTCAGAGTGGCCAGGGAGCAGATCACGTGTCCATCAAAAGGTAGGTGCATAAACAACGTATGATGCACAACAGAGTAATGTTCAACACAATAGACAGGACGCCCTAAACATGCCATGTCGTGGATGAAAGTACTGTGTCAAGAAAAGAAGCCAGATGCACAAGGACAAATATTGTATGATCCCCTTATATGTGCTGTCCAACCTCCCACTGCCGCCGAGTCCTTTCAACTCATAGCTGCCCTGTGGGGCAGCGGAGAACTGCTCCTTGGGGGGTCCTGAGGCTGCACAGCGTTACAGGATTAGAAAGTCTCGTCCTTCTCCTTGTGGCTAACAGCCCACTGGGCAACCTGCTCTGCCACCGGGCTCCTTTAAGTGCTACCTAGAAGTGGCAGATGCAGAGAGACCAGCGTTTATCAATGGTCACCCAGGGTTGGCAGGAGCCCTAGTGGCACAGTGGAAGGAGTGTAATGGGCTACACAGTGGGCTGCTAACTACAAGGTCAGTAGTTGGAAGTCACTCACCTCAGGAGAATGATTTTCTGCCTCAGAAACCCACAGGTGTAGATCTACCTTGTCCTACATGGTTGCTATGAATCAGAACCGACTCAATGACAGTGAGTGAGTGCGTGCTATGGCTGAGGGGCACTGAGTTTCTGTTTGAGGTGATGACAAATGCTTGACAATGGATCGCGGTGACAATAGGGAGCCCTGGTGGCATAGGAGGTTACACCTTGGGCTGCTAACTGCACGGTCAGCACTTCAAAACCAGCAGCATCTCTGAGAGAGAAAGACGGGGCTTTCTACTCCCGTAAGTAGTTACGGTCTCTGGAGCTCACAGGAGCAGTTCTGGGTCGCTGTGAATCGGCATCAACTTAACCGCAGTGAGGTCAGGCTCTGGGTTCTGGTCTTGTAAAGATGTAAGGCCTCACACCCCAGCAGCAGCACTGCACTGCCCAGCCCTGCAGGGGCGCCGCTCTGAGTTGGAATCCACTGAAGAGCGGTGTGTTTGGTTTCGTTGAGCGGTGAGGTTGCAGGGCGTGGGGAACCATGCTCGACAGTTGCACTGGTGACCCGTTTGTGCTATGTATCAAAACCAAAGCCGTGGTCATCGAGTCCACTTGGACTCCTAGCAGCCCTGTGGGACCCCGTGGACCCTTGTGGGTTTCCAAGACTGGAGCGCCTGACTAGAGCAGAAAGCCTCATCTTTCTCTTGTGGAGTGGCTGGTGGTTTCAAACAGCTGACCTTGTGGTGAGCCGCCCAATGCATAACTACTAAGTAATACAATTTTCTAAACAACTCGGCCGAGCAGAGCAAACCACCTGCGAGATATCTGGGGCCTTGAGAGGCTCCGCGGAAAACCCCAGGGCCAGGCTGTCCCCCCACTGTTCAGACCCACAGCAGGAAACTCACTTGCAAGGGGCAGTTCAGCTCCTCGGCCGCGCACTCCAGCCTTGTCTTGACCGTCTCCAGACTCCGGGTCTCGGTCAGGAGCCGGTCCAGCTCGTAGCCCAGCTCGGCCTTCCAGAAGCCGATGTCCGACAGCCTCTGATTCAGGTTGCGGTAGGTGCCCTCCTGCATCTGGCGGGTCAGCTGATCTTTGTCCTGCATCAGCCTCATAGAGTCGCCTGCCAGCCGGCCAGCCCACAGCCGGGAGGCCTCAGCCCCTCGCAGCTGCAGCTGGTTGGACTTGTCCCAGTCCTGGGGGCTGTAGCGGCAGAAGAGCGCCGAGTGGAGGGCCGGCAGGATGGTGGGCGGCCGCAGGGGGCTGCGGCGGGTGCTGCCCTCATCCGGGCAGGTCTGCACAGTGGATACCTTGCAGAAAAGGCTGGGTCTCCACGAGTTGAGGTAGCGGTACCCCGGCAGGCAGTAGGGCTGGTAGCTCTCCTGGATCACGGGGGTCTGCACGGCAGGCGGCAACGCGCTCAAGCCACAGGCTTTCTTGGCGCCGCCGCAGTAACTGGCGGTCTGAGAGGTCCCAAGGAACTCCATTGTCCTCCATCCGCCCCTGGGAGCCCAACACTGCCCAGGGGGCCACAGGTTTCTCCAGCCAAGGGGAAGGGCCTTCTGCCAGGGACCTCTATGACTCAGCACTGCTGTCATAAAGCCTGGGGCCTGGGACTTCAGCGGGGCCCCTGCTTGCTGGGGCCCAGGCCAGCTGGGGCCATACTGTCAGAATGAGAAATAAATGAATGACCATTTAACTCAGCAAACGGGCCTTTCTTGGCCTGTCCAGGTGGGGGCGCAAGAGTTGGTCCTTTAGTTACTTTCCCAAAACAGTGCAAGCTGTCCTCCCAGAAGTAACTCTGCCCTGAGAGGTAGTCTGTCCCAAGAGAGTCCGTCCATCAGGCAGGCAACATTTGGTCAAGGCGTGTTGTCTTCTTGCTCTGATGTGCCCAATGTGCCACCCAAGCACTCCAGTCATTTCTTGGAATTCTACTCCACGATGGGAAGGCGTGCACCGTTAGCTCCCAGAACGTAATGTATCTCGGCTGTGCTCAGCACAGCCCACACAGCCAGGCACATAGGCTACCTCCAAATCAACGATATTACTAGAATGTCCCATGGAGATTACTTATATTATTTCTCAAGAATCCAATAGAGCTGTCTTTAAAGTAGACCAGGGACAAATCTAAAACACAGAAATATGAAGAGATTTTGAGTTTCTTAAGTAAGAGCAATTATTCTGACGCCATGGCCCTGTGAGATACTTGCCCTCAAGAAGTGATCACTTAAGAGATGGGAGCTATAGCAAAAGTATGGTGAAGAAATCAGATGATGCTCGGCTATCAGAAAGAATCACATCTACAGTCTCACAGTCTGGGCTTAAACCAAGCAGTTATCTATGTGAGGTGTCAGCTAAGCCCACATAGAAGAAGCACATCAGCCTGTGTGATCAAAGGATTGTTGTTGTTACGAGCCACCCCGCCGGCCCCGACCCATAGCAACCCTGTGCACAGCACTGTTCCTATGCCAGAGCCCAATGATGCAGCCACTGTGTCCATCCGTCTTACTGAGGGCCTTCCTCTTTGTCACCGCCTCTCCACTTTGCCGAGCATGATGGATTCGGGGGTTATTAACAATTAAATCCAAGATCAGCAAGGGAGATGCTGCTAGAGTTTAAATTCTGAGCACCTGTTTTGCAGAAGGCTATGAATGACAGGGAAAGCCCCAAATCCATTTATCAAGCCATACGCCATGGATTTTTTTTAAAAATCACTCTTATCACGTCAATACTGACTCAGTGACCCTGCAGGACAGGGTGGAAAGGCCCCTATCAGTTACTGAGACTGTACCTGTTTACGGGAGTTGAAAACCTGTCTTTCTCCTGAGGAGCAGCCGATGTTTTCAAACTGCTGGCCTGCTGTTTGCAGCCCAACAGGTGGTTACTATGCCACCTCCACTGAACTCCCTTGGCCCATTAACTAAGGATGTGAGAAGTCTTGTCCCCAGACAGAGTGCAATGAAAGAGAACTCCTACAGATACATTGAGGGCAAAATCGAACCTCTTACCTTATGTTTTCCTTTTTGATCCATTTAAAAAAAATCATTTTATTGGGGGCTCGTACAACTCTGATCACAATCCATCCATCCATCCATTGTGTCAAGCACATTTGTATATTTGTTGCCATCTACACTCTCAAAACATTTTCTTTCTACT